GACTGTAACTGGTGGTGTTGATCTCTTCTCCGCTACATGGGCCGGGTTCATGGCTTGATGGGGGCGTAGGTTAGATGAAAAGAGCAGCACCTCCACCAGATGTTACGGAGTCGTGACGTATATGAAGGTAGTAGACTACAGGTAAAAACAAACTGTTTATTCGGCCGAACTTGTCGCCGATCAACGAAATGTCAGATTACAGCAATACACACTGCATTGAGAACGGTTATGTAAAAGTCGTATATTAATCAACTGACAAGCGGCGAAGCGCGTCGGCATTTATACATGTGCCGTCGACTAGTCCAGCATTGTCGCCGGCGGCCATGTGAGTTCTATAATAACCTGATTGATTGATTTATATGTGGGGTTTAACGTCCGAAAACCACCATATGATTTTGAGAGGCGCCGTAGTAGAGTACTCCAGAAATTCCGACCATCTGGGATTCTTTAACGTGCACCCAAATCCGAGAACACGGGCCTACAACATTTTCGCCTCCATCCATAATGCAGCGACGGCAGCCGAGATTCGATCGCGTGACTTGCAAAGAATAACCTGTAATTTTACCAAAATAATTTACTACAGTCGCGAAGCTTCTAGAACACCAAAGGAGTGGTTTGCGCTACTCATTACTATACACACACACACACACACACACACACACATATATATATATATATATATATATATATATATATATATATAATAATATATAATAATTATATATATATATATATATATATATATATATATATATATATATATATATATATATATATATATATATATATATATATATATATATTGTAGCGAAGCCTCCGAACTATGAAATGGGTCGAACTCTTGAGTACCTTCTAGTGGGGCTACCCAACAAGGACGCCGCTCGCACTGAGAGCCCGTGCTTGGCCGTTACTGTATATATATATACAGTAACTATATATATACAGTTACTATATATATATATATATATATATATATATATATATATATATATATATATATATATATATATATATATATATATATATATATATATATTCTTTGACGACGCGAGATCGACGAACACACCAAGCACCTCAAACAAATACGTTTGATCGACCGCAAGAAAAAGACTGCAACGACTTCTTTGTCTTTTGCGCTCGGCCAAGGACGCTCGCGCTGCTTCGTTGTCACCAACACTGGCACATATGCGCGACATTATTCCCCCTTTAAAAAAAACATCGCCCCGATGTTAAACGTTCGAGAAGCAAGGCGATACCAAAACTGCACACTTAGTCACTGAAAGTTAGGCTTCATCCGAAGCACGTGGACAACTTCCGGTGAATGCGGCGCTTCGAACACTGCACGCCGTCCGGAACAACCTCGTAGTTGACGTCACTGATGCGTCGCGGAACCTTGTAGGGTCCGAAGTATCTTCGCATCAGCTTTTCGGAGAGCCCATGCTGACGAATAGGTGTCCACACCCATACTTTGTCGTCCACGTTGTATATGACGGGTCTGTGCCGGAGGTTGTTGTGTTTGGCATCGTCATCTTGTTGTTGGGTGATTCGCAACCTGGCAAGTTGTCTGGCTTTTTCTGCTAGCTGGGTAAACTCTTCGGCGTCCGTCTTATTGCCACCATTTTTATGAGGCAGCATTGCGTCTAACGTTGTCGTAACCTCGCGTCCATAAAGGAGACTGAAGGGTGTCTTCCGATTGGTCTCCTAACGAGTCGTGTTGTACGCGAACATGACGTAGGGCATATTGACGTCCCGGTTCCTGTGCTCTACATCTGCGTACATGCTTATCATGTCAGCTACAGCTCAAGTATGCCTTGAGTGTAGAAACTGTGGATGAAATAGGTTGCATTGTCGTGAGGAACGGACGAAGTTTGAAGGCCTTGAAGGTTTGGTAGAGCGGTCTTTGTGGGCATCGTCGTCTTTCCTGCTTGCATGCTTGTGGTCCTAAACTGATTCGTCGGTGCCTGAACCATTTTAAGGTAGAAATAGTGAATTCTTGTCTCGTTCGATGATTCATGAGGTTTCGGAGCTGTAATCTTAGGCGCAAGTCTTGATCTCTTGGGCCGAATACTTTTCTGGCGCCGGTACCTTATGTGAAAATGGCCCACGTTTCGAATTTGTCCTAAAAGGCTTGATTTGCATCGTCGTCCTTGTTGGTGAACCTCTTGGAAAGTCTATGATTTTCTTGGACTTGCTTTTCCTGGCGTTACTCATGATACTGTGAGAGACAGAGGGGGAGAGGATTCGAATTTGCGGTGGAGCGCGGACGCAACTTTATGAAGCTTGCTCCATAACGCTTCGCATCTGAAAGTGCAGCTAGCCCAGCGTATGGGCGTTGTCTATTTTCTCTTCGAAGTACAATGCCGATGTCGACGAAGACGAAGTCTTATGGACGTTAAACTTTGCCTAGGTGGCATTGCGAAAAACGCCGCCACCAGTGCTTTCATAGCAACGTCGGCCTTAAATGGGTAGTGCACAGAGAGCCGTCCGCAAGCGAATCGTGCAGAGGCCCTCCTCTTTTGTTGGTCTTGAGGTGCGGTTTCCTAGAAATCAAGACCTGGCAAACTTCTTCCTTCAATCCAACCTCGCTTCATAGAAGTAGGAAGCTCATCAAAACGAAATGCGGGCACAATGAAAGAGATGTTTCATTTATTTCAGCGTGCTGAAACTGGCAATTTAAAGGAAAGCGAGCATCGCATGACATCGAGTTCGAATAAAGCACTCTGAAGTGCATTCTGTAACGCTTAAATGCGTTGAACTTGGCAATGCACACTGAAGCCAAAGTGGTGAAGGGCATACACGAACAATCTATGAGATCATAAGTATGAAGATCGCTTTATCCGGCATGAATGGCACAGGTGATTTATCGCTTCCTGTGCAATAAACTGTTTTATTACGCATGCACGAATGCACTGTTGACAGTTGTCTTCGGTTTATATATACTGCAAATGAAGATATATGCGTGTTCTCTTTCTCAGTGTATAACGAAAAAGAAAACCGACTGGTTTATTGATATGTGGGGTTTATTGTCTCTAAACCACCATATTATAATGAGAAACGCTGCAGTGGAGGGCTCCGGAAATTTCGCCCACCTTTGGTTCTTTAACGTGCACCCAAATTTGAGCACATGGGCCTACAACATTTTCGCCTCCATTAGAAATGCAGCCGAGGCAGCCGGGATTCGAACCCATGACCTGCGGTTCAGCAACCTTAGCCACTAGACCACCACGGCGGGGCGAAAGGCAAAACCGATGCCTCCAAGTTAGTTTCGGTAATCGCAGAGACCAACGGCAAAGAAAACTGACTGTGGTCACGATCATTCTCCGATTTACCTGAATGACACACGTCTTCGCAATTCCTGGTTAGAGGCGGTTAAAGCCCTACCTACGCAATGCTTTGTCGTGGGGACCACTTCAGATTATCGGTCGTCATGGCGTGTGCGATGTTTGGCGCGGCCGGGCGTCACCTCTCTACTGTTGTACATCCCACACCGCGGTCAAAGGGTCTGTTAAGCTTTATAATAAATATTACCATGGTTCTCAGTCAAGGCTGCTCAAAACAATAACAGGAGACCTACATTATCACGCTTACTTGTGCGAATGGCTGTGGAGAACTCGAGTAAATAATTTATCCAACACGTTCGCAAAAGCCTGTATTTAGCGCTCTCACCATTGTGTTTTGCAAACGCTACAGAAATCACTAAATCTGAAGTCATTTACGTCCGTGGCAATTCACGACGCCAGCGTAGTGCAGGATGGGGTCTTCGTTTTTCGTGGAACGTAGAGCTGTTGTGTCTGCTTTCGTTTTCGCCGTCGTTCGGGTGAGTGTACTAGCAAGCACTTCACTGCGGTTCGATGTCGCATCCGACTAGCGCAGAAAAATTCGTACCTCTTTTTCTGAGTGTTCAATACGCAAATACATATATTATTGCACTCAACCGTTGTTTAGTTCGCTTTAGTTGCACTTGGTTGCGCAGTGAACTGTGCAAGAGAGTGCGGCTTTACACTACTCAAAACTGTGTCGACAGGTGGCACTCCGTGTCCGCGAAACTCCAGAGTCTGACGTCTATTTTCCCACTTCCTTGTGAATGGCACCGATAAATGTACAGCTGCGCTAAGCGCGTGTTTAGGACGGCATACAGAGCACCTTGGCACCTGCTAACTTTCCACTGCTGCAACCAGAATTCCGGGACGGTGTCGAGGCTTCCATGGCGGGCTCGGCACGGATTTCCACAAGATTCCGCGATACTGGCAAACGACCATAAGCGTGTGAAGGCCTTCTCTAGAGGGTAGTGGGAACGAAGGTTAGTCGTGACGCACCCCACTTTCTGTTATGGCAATATGTTGGGATGCCTTTGCACCCCTCTCTTTCTCCTTTTCCAATCACGTCAATATATGGGGCTGATGGGCGGTCCCCCTCTTAACCAAGTGTCCACCATGCGCACGGCTATGTTCACGCCAAGATACGCCATATATGCGTCCTTGGCAAGGAATGCCGCAGCCGTGAGCATCGGCTGCAACACCGCAGCCTTGATGCCAGGTTCACAGGGTGCCTTCCCCGACTACGCTCTGGAGGCTTTGCGTATTTTGACCAAACTATCGCATCAGCTCAACCGCATGATGTAGACGAACTTCGGGTTCCCGCCTGCTGCTTCGCTGCAGTTCGCTGCTCCGGCAGTACTGAAGTACCGCGGCTTCTTGGACAACCTCTCCTGGTAGACTGAGACCATCTGTTCACTCGGCACCCTCCATATCTGGCCGGCATATCGAAAGTGACTTAACGCCATCGACCACTTTCGCAATTCCGGCATGTCTGGCATGTCTATGACGGCGTCAGGCTAAAATGAGGCAGGTACAAAATAAGCACGGCAAAATAAGCAGGTAAAAATAGCCACACACAACTCATATGCTTTATTATTGTCTCTCTTGCAGAATATTTAAGTGGTGAAGCAAATGTTTGGTGCTTTTTGTGTTTTGACACAAAACATTTAAATCTTTTTTCAGGTACGTGCGAGAATGGCATTTGCACATAGTGCAATGTCAGGAATACTCATTTGTCGAATGGTTTTGTGGAGATAAAATAAATAGTTTTTATTTTCAATGTATTGTGAAACTTCTAAATTCTCTTTCTTTGAACTGCTGAGTGTTGCAGTGCAAAGTGATCAAGTATATTTACAAAGCACACAGAATTCAAAAATGAAAAGTTATCACATACTTCTTATATTACGCGATAAGCTATCAAATTTTTATTAGAAGCATATTTCGATCTACTGCATGCACTTTTGGCATCTACCTACGCGTCTATCTATCTGGCGGCCTTCTTCTGGGTTCTTTCGTGATTACCCTCTTCTTTTGTGGTACACCAAAATTAGCATGGGAGGGCAATATGATTTTACGTATACGACTCCCTGGTCATGATATGAATAAAGCTGCGATCCCATCGCGTACGTCGTCAACCGTTTCCACCAGACAATGGCATATATACCCCTAGCCGCGAGCGGGTTGGCGGCACTGGTATGCGGGTATGCGCTGCAGGTGGTTGACACGCCATATATTCACAGGAAGGGCGAGAACACTCGGGGAATTTTCGCATAGGAACGTTAGCAACAAAATACAGCACACGCAAAAGGCTGCGAAGGTGCTCTAGTGCTTCCTGCGTTCAACCAGTCTCTTCAAACGACTGTGATGTGTATCTATTTCCAAACTTATTTGATATCTCTCTCTATCTTCTTTCCGGCCCCTATTTCTCACTCCTGTACAGGGCAGCAGACCAGTTCTTCTAGTTCCACATCCATGTCTTTTCTTTACTTTATATTTATCTCTCTCTACAGCATATCCACGGAGGGAATAATGATGAGCGGGGGGAACCTTCGGAGGGTTCCATCAATAAACCGTAAATCCTCCGTTCATACGTCGGCCAGTTCGTCTGTCTGTCTGTTGTCTGCCCGTACGTCTGTCCATCAATCCGTCCAAACCTACTGAGTGAGTCATAGAACCAGGCAGTCACGTACCAATGGAGCCATGCATGTACAGACCCGCGGCTTAAGGAGTCCCGCCCCTAGAAGCTGATATCAGCTGCATTGACCCGACCATTGTGAAAAAATTGCCGCCTACATCTTTCCACAGGGAGAACTAGAGTAAATGCGTCGTAGAGTGGTGGAGCCATTGCGCAATTGTTGTGTGATTGGGTATGGTTTAGGAATGCTTAACTGTTATTTCCAGTTTATTATCCTTATTTATTTATTGAAGACAAAGCGTATATTAAAACAAGGAATGGTGGACATGGTGTAAACCACCACCCACCATTGCAGTGGATTAATGTAGTGGGTGAATGATGTGAAACGTCCACCATGGTGTATCGTGCGCTGTGGTGGATGCTGCAGTGCCGGGAACGCTTGAGCGCGAAATGGCGTCAGAATCACCGTGATGAGCTGCCACATAATTAAAAGAGAATCGAATAAAAAACGATGTATAAACACCCGTCCCGTAAAAAATAGAAAAACAGGCTATCACAGATGATCGAACGTGCAACCTGTGGATTGCCATTTGGAGACACTAACAACTGCGCCGTGCTTTTTATGCTTTATTGCCTGTTCATGGGCGCGTAAGTCAAACTACAAGCACAGAAAAAACAAGTAGCAACACTGCGACAGAAACTAAAATTCCCTAAGTACTACCAAGGGCTGTACTCTCGACAACCACTCAGGTACAATATTCTGAGTTTTGTGTAGTTCAACAAACTTGGCCTTACATTCACGGAAATACATTGGTGCAGGCCGTGCACCCTGATCGCAATGAAAACCCGCCATATGGGCCTGCCATAAACAGTAAAGTGCACATAGCATAATCAAATCAAAACGCATTCCCTCTTCGTCCACTATTTGCAGAAATCTTATACTATATAAATTTAGAGTTAATTCCTTCTTTAACGTCATTTGAAGTACATTCCAAAATTATACTGCCTCCCAACAATGTAAGAAAACATGGTCTATAGTTTCCAGTTTTTCACAGATAAGACAGTTTGTTCCCCAAGATGAGTAAAAACCAAGGTCTGCTTCTAATGTCTTGAGAGATAGTGTACTTGTGTGAAGCTCTAAAAAGGAGTTCACGACAGGAGCCACTTGCAATCTCTTCACTCATTTAAGCACATCTTGCCCTTGATCTCCAGTGTACATGGTACGGTACAGGGGTTTTGGTAAAACAACATCACACACATCTTTTTTCAAGTTTTTGCTAGTCACTGAAAAACTATTCATTGAAACATCAAACAGATAAAAACCGTGAACTTAGAATAACCTCTTTAGGATGCCCGCGGACAGCACCGGCCATGTCATTCGTGCTAACCACATATCCAGCTTAAAGCCCGCATCAGTCTAAGCTGGTACACTGTACGTAAGAAACGATCCCTTGTGTAGCGAAAAAAAAAGAACCTATTTACGACTTGGCGTACGAAAAGATGTGGTAAACCCAGCCCTCCGTGTTTCAGTTTTCGAAACAGGTTAGTTCGACTGCATCTCTCCCAGTTGGAGCCCTCACGAACACTGCAAAGATGTGATGGAGCTCCGGTATGTTTGTCCTTGAACAATGCAATACTTGCATCACATACCAAAGTTTTTAGGCAAAAAAAATTTACAAACGAACGCCCTCGAAAACACTGACAGATGATTACAGTTGCATCTATTGGCTTTCGTCCGGATTGTTTTCGCTTGTTCCGGCCAGTAGTTCTCATTATCTTTATAATATTCCAGTGACACACAAAGGTACTTGACGGGTGTGGTCACCCAATTAACATTGGCAATATAGTCTGGTCTTGACGACCACTCTCCATGCCAGAATTGATTGATATGTGGGTTTAACGTCCCAAAACCACCATATGACTATGAGAGACGCTGTAGCGGAGAGCTCCGGAAATTTCGACCAACCTGGGGTTCTTTAACGTGCACTCAAATCTGAGCACACTGGCCTACAACATTTCCGCCTTCAACGGAAATGCAGCCGCACAGCCGGGATTCGAGCCCGTCGCCTGCGTGTCAGCAGCCGAGTACCTTCGCCACTAGACCACCGCGGCGGGAGAATAACATTTTTTTCTTTCTGACACCTTGGAATTCGAACCCGGGCCTTCATGCTCCGAAAGCGAGTGTCTTCACCACTACCCTACACACCCATTTCATGCCAAAACTCAGACACTTTCCCTAGTTTAGTAGACTGCCATTTGCATTACCGAACCTTTTGACTATAATCATGGTCGTGGTAACACTACGTTGATCATTGCAACAAACAGCCGCATCGTCGGCATACGCCAGAATTTTAACTTCGGATTCTTGTAATCTAAAGCAATGAATGGTACTGTTTTGAGGTATTGCTAAGCACAGCAATTCTATATATAAACTTAACAGTAGGGGACTCAGCGCGCAGCTGTGACGGACAGAACGCTTTATGTTAATTGTAACTCCTATTCTCGTCTTGATCACCAGACGGGTCATGCAGTTCTAGTATGCCGTAGATACCCCATCTCTGATTAGAGAACCAATGTTGACATAGTCAGAAATGGCAAGCAGAAGGTTGTGGAAAACACAATCAAAAGCTTTCTCGAAATCAATCTGTAGAAAGACTACTCGTCCTTGATTGGCATCGCAGCACTCGCGCAGGCAATGCATCTTGTGTATATTGGTCATGATGGAGCGTCCCATATTCCCGAATGTTTGGCGGGGCCATACCAATTCTCTGATTACCCCTTGAAGTCGCCCAGGCTAATACTTTCAGTAAAATTTTGTAATCGCAATTAGTTAGGGATATAGGTCTATACGAAGAAACTAATTTTAACTTCTCTGAGTGTTCTCTCTTAGGTATCAAAACTGTATGTGATTCACTTAAGGACCTAGGGAGGCCAGTAAGTTTATAGGCCTGATTGAAGACGTCTGGGAGTACTTGGGATGATTCATTTTTAAACTCTTTGTTAAACGAAGTTCAAAGCCCGCCCGGCCCGGGAGATTTACTAGGATTCATTTTATCTATAGCAGTTTCTACTTCAATTGGCGTAATAGATAGCTCCAATGCGGATTTGGTGTCATTTGACATCTTCGGCATTCTGCTAAAAAACTCATCTTCGGCATGCTGCAATGGCCTCTGAATCAATGGGCGTGGCAGCGAAGTGTGCTTCGTAGTGTTTGCCAAACGCTCGTCCTATTCTCTTATCGTCTGAAACTTCAATACCGTTCATTTTAATGGCATATATATGATTTCGTCTGGCGTGACTCTTCTCTAATCCAAGCACTGGCTTCGTCGTGCGATCATCCACAGTCATTGAAGTTGCTCTGGCTGGCACTAGCGCTCCGCAATAGCGTTCCTCCTCATATACGTCTATCATCTGTTTTGATACTCCGCATATCGTCATCATATACTCCAGGTTCTTCACATTTAGGTGCTCTTAGCCTCTCAAGTGTACATCTCAGCTCTTTCTCCTTCTTTTTACATTCAGAAGATACAACGCTAGATCTCTCTATTGCTTTCATTTTGATTCGTTGCTTGAACAGTCCCCACTCTTCTCCTATTTTGTCCTTACGCCCCATGTTAATAATGTTCATTTCTTTTATAACTTTGCGCTAAATAATTCATCCCTTAAGAGGTTAGAGTTCATTTACCACTGTTCTAAAAAAGACGTTCCTTTTTTTTTGACTTGATATGGCATTTTACAAGACAGTGATCAGAAAAAAGAAACAGGGACAACGTTATAACTGCTACACGGGGCTATCGCATCCGCAGTAAGGTAAAGTCGATCCAATCAGCCATTTCTTGTGCCCTGAAAGTGGGTATACTTCACATATCGGGAGCTATACACACACTGCGCTAGATTTGCTAATTCGTATTCAATATTCACCTGTGCCAGGACATCACTGATTTTGTGTTTACGTTGCTACTGCTTGATCTATCACTTTTATTTAAGACACATTTGAAATCCCCCACCAATAAGAGTTTCCATCCAGTACACATATGTTGTCGTTAGTTGAAAAAAAACTCGCTTTTTACTGGCCAGTAGTTGGAGCATAAGCACATAGAATGCGCCATTCAGTGTGACAATACACAATATCACACCATACTGCTCG